ATTTATACATGTGTGTCCTATTTATTTCACTTAAGAGTATCGCCTCAATGTGCATCCACTTAGCTATAAATGTCTCTAATTTCTCGTTTTTTATGGCTGAGTAGTACTCCATTTTATAAAAAAACCCCACATTTTCTTTATCCAGTCTCCAGCTGATGGGCATTTGGGCTGTTTCCAAGTTTTAGCTATCACAAACTGTGCTGCTTTGAACATGGGCACACATATATCACTGTGGTATGATTTGATCACTATTTCTGATTGATCTCATCAAACAAATTTAGTTGTTCATCACAGTATTTCAGATGTCATCATTTATGAAGCCAGGTGCACACAATTACCAAACACAGTGATAAACATTTGTAGATTTTACTTTTTAATTATGAATATTGTTTATCTGCTCATAACCATTATACTTGTGTGAGTATCATTATTATTCCTGACTTTATGCTTGCAAAAGTAGATATTATTTCATTGTGTAAAGTGGTCTATGAAGGGTTTTTTCATGTTTTTTACATGTTTCTCAAATATATCCCCTTTTAAAAAGTAAAATGTCTTTTGAAGTATTTTTAAAATTATTTTTTTCCAGAATTTTATTTTCAGGATTTTGATCTTTTGGAATTTTAAACTTTAGAGATCTTATACGTTAGGAATTTGGCCTTTCAGGATCTCAGCATTCAGGATTATAGCATTCAGGAATATCCCTTCCAAAAATCCTACCATTCACATCATACTTGATGATGAAAAGCTAAAAACTTTCCTACTAAGATCAGGGCTGAGGGAAGGATATCTTTTCACACTGCTTTTCAACATTATTATGCTGAAATTACTAGCTAATGCAATAAAAAAATAAAATTATACAGATTGGAAAGGAAAAACATTATCTTTGTTTACAGATGACATGATTGATGCATGTGTAGAAAATGTGAAAGAATTCACAATTTTTCTGGAATTAATAAATTATAGTAAAGTTGTAGAATATAGTTAATATGCAAAAGTTAACCACTTTTTTATATATCACCAATAAACAGGTAGGATTTGAAATTTAAAAAATTATGTAGTTTACATTAGCATCCCCAAAATGAAATATTTAGGTATGAATCTAACAAAATATGTATATGATCTATATGAGGAAAACTACTAACAACACAAAATGCTGGCAAGGATGTGGAGTGAGATGAACTCTCATTGTTGGTGGGTATGCAAAATTGTCCAGCAACTCTGGAAGACAGTTTGGTGGTGTCTTTCAAAATGAACAATCTTGCCATATGATTTAGGAGTTGTGCTCCTTGGTATTTACCCAAAGGAGTTGAAAATTTATGTTCACACAAAAATCTGCACACAGATGTATATAGTTATATAACATTTATTGATGATTGCTCAAATGTAGAGTCAACCAAGATGTCCTTCAGTAAGTGATATGGTTTAAATATGTTTTCTCAGCATCAAAACTCATGTTGAGGCTGATCCCAATGTAATGATGTTGAAAGATGGTGGAAAATTTATGAGGTGGAGCCTTGTAGAAGTTAACTGGGCTACTGAGGGCACCACCCTTGGAAGGAATTAATACCCTGATTACGGAAGTGGGTCAAGTTGTGTGGGACTGTATAATTTACCATAAGTGTGGGTTATTGTATATTAAATGTGACTTTCTTGGCTCACTTTCTTGCTTCCTCTCACTGCATGGTGTCTCTTCTGTACCTACTACTCGCTGCTCTGGTAAGCTCTCCTGCCATGTGATGCCACATTGTCATAACCCAGCATCAGGCCCTTATCAGTCATAGTTGGCCAATCTAGCTTCCAGAACTGGAATAAAGCCAAATTCTTTCCTTTATAAATTACCTAATCTTAGATATTTTGTTATAACAACATAAAATGGACCAAGACAACAAGGAAATGGACACACTGATACACATGCAATTTAATATTATTCAGCACTGAAAATAAATGAGCTATTAAGCTATTAAAAGGCACAAGGGAACCTTAAGAAAGCATTCTGCTGAGAGGAAAAACCCAATCTGGAAAGACTCCTTACTGCATGATCCCAACTACATGAAATTCTGGAAAAGACAAAACTGTGGAGACAGTAAAAAGGGGCTGAGAGAAGGAGGGATGAACAGGCAAAGC